TCTTTAAGCTTAGTTATCATCTAATAATCAAAACCCAACCTTAAAATCAACAATTAATCCATAAACAAAGAAACTCACCTTTGAGCTTGGAGATACGGGAGGAGGAGGAAGAAGAAAGAAAAATGTGGATAATTCTCTCCTTTTCCACGTGGTTCCTTTTCTTATAAAACGAATATAAAAATCTTACTTATCAATTTACCATTTTACCCTTTAATTCATCCAATAATTACTAAATAACCTTCATCATATTTCCAATAAATCATTGAACTATTCAATTATCCTACTTTAATCACCAATTTTTGAAACTTTACAATTTGCTCATTAACCCGGTATTGAGGATGTTACACTTGAGTTCATAAAAAAATGAGCTGATCTAATATGGGTTTCTAAACCCCCCCCCCCACACTGAACCTTTCCAAAGGCTACCATGATAAAATGGAGAGGTTGAAGGCTCGATTTAAAGCTTTGAAGATTAAGGTTATGATTTTTACCTTTAGAATTCCAAACTAAGATTGCAAGGCCACCAAGTTATTATCTTTTTGCCACCTAACAAGATTGAGAAAAAAAGATAAAATGAGGTAGAAGACAAATGAGGATAAAGAAAAAGAGAAGGGTGTTCAGGCATGAGATCTTTTATCCTCAATGGAAATTCATTCTTTAAACTAAAAATGATAAAATTGCTTCCTAACTTTGATCACAACATAAGGATACCTTTTTTTTATCATCCATTGGGCCCAAATCAATGCTCATTTGGACCAAGCTTCACTATTGGCTAATGGGTTTAATCAAGGCCCTCTCCGGTTAGCCCAAAACTCATGAGATTGGGGGCATTACATAGCACATCTCACAGTACAAGAACGATAATATCATCGATCCCCAATTATATTAATGAGTATTCTCAAAATATGTCAACAACAGGAGATACTGCTTGTGAACCAGATTATTGAATTTATTCGGCATCGAAACTCCCCCCAATAAACTACAATATATATGCTCAAGTTGCATATAAATTTTTTTGTTGGGTACTATTTCGTTGGAGCTTAAATTGATTCTTCAACCATGATAGCCTTAAATGCCACCCTTTTAACTTTGGTGCTACCACCGTCTACCCAAAAATCTCATTGCAAAGTAGTTCCACATCATAGTAATCATTTTTTAGCACCGATGACATCCCATTTTTTTGGGAACCCGAGTTGCATGACCACATCCTTCAGAGTTATTGTGCATTATCCAAACAAAAAATGAAATATATGTATTTCTTGTCTCCAACGTTCAATCAATGCACTGATCAAAGCCGTGACTAACTTGTACTCTCGAACAAATGTAACATAGTAAAATCCAACTTCTTCCAAGTTAGTTTTAATCAATTAGTGTGGCTTATCGGGAATATTGAGTCAATGACGGAGGACTCGTTGCTCGTCTTCCTACAATTAATTAAATCATAAAATTAATCAAAAAAAATAAACTTATAACATTTTAAGAGTAATAATTTGTTCTAAAATAAATAATATATTATTCTATTAAATAATAATAACATCATCATTCCCAAATGGCTAGAAATATGTTGACCGTCAAATCATAGCAATTGATTTTGTTCTTCCATTTGAACAAATCTGTAAAAAAATTTAACAATAAATTAATCTAAACAAAAAAATAATCGAAACAAATAAACTCACTCATATCATCACTCTTATATATCCCCATTTACACACAATTATTGTACCATTATTGGGCATCGATAATAACCCCATTATTACTGTCATGCATGCAGTTTCACGTGGCCTTTGCATGTAACCTTCACTATTTTTTTTCCAATTTCATGGCAGGATCACGAGGAGCATGGGAGACGCATTGTAATTGTTGTGTCTCACGATGGAGGACGCATGAAATACTTGGCGTTTCACCGTTATAGTTGGGAGTATAATGCGACTTCATCCGAGCAAATAATCGAAAATCAACATTGTTTTAAAAAAAATAACAAAATTTTGCCATTTTTTATTTCAGAAGTTTACTTGTTTAAGATTGTTTCTCTTCAAATAAATACTTTTGGGCTTCCAAAAACAATTTCAAACCATATCTTAGTTTGTTTGGTTTAAAATTTAAATTAAATGGTATTTTTAAATTGATAAAATATATACTTCAAATATTATTTTTAAAATATGAAATAATCAATAATATGAATAAATATAAATTATTAGTGTCCTCCGTTTGAATTAGAAGAGAATATATAAACATTTCTTTAATATTCTAAGTTATAATTTAATTTTTTATCATTCAATCAACATCTAATGTTTTATAAAAATTGGAGGCAATATAGTACTAACGTAAAGGTCACTCTATCCTTACTCAAAAGTGTTTTTGACAGAAATTAACCTATGAATTTCATATTTTAAAAAATCATACATAATAAAATCTAAGTAATATAAAAAAAGGTGTATATTTTAAGGACTAAATTATGCAAGAAATAATCATCAGCGGGATACTGGGCTTCATATGAGTATATGTGATATCTAGAAATCAAGAAATAAAATGGGTGATCCGACGGCTTTTATAATACACTTTTTTTTATGTGCTAACATGACAAAATTTTCTTTGTCTATGTATTATATTTTAGGTTGTAAACATAATATATATATATATATATATTAAATTTAATTAAGTTCTCTTAAAAAAAACTTGCCGCTTTTTTCCTTCTTATCTATTTTTCCTTTTTTATTCTTTACAACTTATGTCAATTTTATGGATTTTCTTCTTTAATTTTGTTTAACCGGCGGCGGCACCGATTTTAATGTTGGTTGCCGTCCATCGGTTATTTTTTCTTTATTTTGTTTAGTTTTTTAATAAAAATAATTATGTATTTGTCACATGTTCTCTGTCTTTATGACACGTTTATCTCTGTCTTTGTGGTATGTTTTTCTTTACCTTTTGGTAACATACAAGTTTTTTCCGTTGTTTATAATTTTTTTGCCGTTGTTTTTGTTTATCATTTTTTTCTCAGGATTGGATTTGGCATCGCCACGACTGATCAAGATGGCACCTATTTGTTATCATGATGATCTTCTTTGTTTTCGACCCTTGGATGGGTTTGGATACGCGTTTTACGTTCGTGGATAGTTTTCTCACGTCGCTTGACTCTGATTTGCGATTTTTCGATGATCTTTCAGTAGCTTCATCCCCTTTTGTGGTTCATTTCTGATGCAGTCATATTTGTTCTTATTTTTATTTTATTCGAGTTTTTTTTGTTAGGTTTTTTTAACATTTTCCTTCTTTGGTTCTTATGCGATCTAGGTGGCTAATTTTTGTCTCAATGATAATAGAAAAATGTCATAATTATATTTTAAGTATACGTTTATGCTTGTAAATCTTCGTTGTACTTTTAGATATTTTCTATTTTTAATAAAACTAACGACTTTATATCAATATATATATATATATATATATATTAATTTGTTCATTTTTTAAATTTAAAATTATGTTCTTGAACCTACAATAACCATTAAATTTGTTAAGTCAAATTTTACTATTAATTCTTATTCGATACAAGTTTTAGTTTTAGTTCTTATTCTTCAATTTAATCATTTTAAATTTCTATAATTTAGAAGCATTGTCCCTATATAGTTTAGACCATAGGATAATAATTAAAATTTCAAAACTCAAAATATATAAACATTAATATTTGATCGAATTAAAATTTAAGGACTAAACACACAATTCATGCATGGTACATAGACTAATAACAGAATTTTACCCACATTGTACAATATATACATACGGTATCTCATTATATATGTATATAACTGTACTTCCGATCCTGAAAAATTCGCTGTTCTCGTAGTTTGAAACGTGTTAACAAAAATAAAATAGTGAAATACGTAGAAATAATTGAGCTTCATGAATTTCAAAATGAAGAGAGGCCAATAATCATGTGCGGCAATTTCCGTGGAAATTAGAGGAACATTCATGGAAAATTCTCACTCATACGGACCGAATCATGAAATTAAATAAATAAAAAAACCCATGGAATCAAATCTTTGTATGGTTTTAAAATTCTCATTGTAGATTTCCACGTACAAGTAATCAACGCTAAAGATATCAATGGTCTCATGTGGATTTGCAAGTAATAACCATTCAAGTGTCAGAAGCCAACCACGTTAATTTCTCCCATTAAGTGACATATGTCATAATCTGATAATTTTGAAATTTATTTTTTAAAATTCAAATCTTAACCTTAATTCATCGCTGTCGCCTTTTCCAGCCACGACCACTGCCACTGACATAGTCCCTACCATCCTCGTACTCAAACGTCGTCGTAGTTTCCGTCGATTGACCTTCAAAATTGCGTGGGACTGCGATTTTCATCATAAGATTGGCAGGGTATAAACGTTAATTTATTGTCGATCGGTCATGATTTCATGGGGGTTTTGGTCGTCGAGGGAGAGGAGGTCAGGTGGAGCTTTGTCGACGGAAAAATGCAGCAGTTCGTCGTAGGTTTATGGCTTAAAATAAATGTTTTTAAAGTTTTGGGGTTATTTCAAAATTTGTGTTTTCTTTTTAAAAATATATATAATTTTAATTTTTTTATTTGAAATAAAATTTTTAAAATTACCAAGTTATGATATGCGTCACTTAACGGAAGAAATAACACCGTTGACAACCCAAACACTTAAATATGTATCATTTATAAAATTATAGGTACCGGGATAAATTAAAAAATTGTTCATGCACATGTTCAAAAATATATATATAATTTTAACAATTATTTTGGTATTAAGCTAAAAAAGAAAAACTTTAAGAACATGTTATGAAAGGGACAAACTACATCTTTTATTTATTGGACAGATAAAGAAATGATAACCAATTGCATGCCTTGTACATTCTTATCCTCTATTCAAATGAAGCATGGTTTTTGGAGCATTTGAGATAATTTGGGGAAAGCAACAACAACAACACATGAAAGCTATTAAGGTCTAAAGGAACAAATTGACCAATAATATTTTTTCCTTGGAACAAATGTGTTACACCTAATTTTCAGCTTTCTTCAGCCTTTTTGTCATGTAATATACAATTCAACTTTTACAACTTGCCATTGCTTTTGTTCTTCATACCCCCCACTTGATTAACACATCCGAAAAGCTCCAAAAAAAAAACAACAAAAACAAAACAAAAAAGGATATTAATTAGGTAAATGTTACAAAGCATCAATTACCCTTTGTTTCTTGCTGCACTCGAATTCTAGAAGCTCCATTTCTCTTGGCCTTTTTCCATTACAACCGCCTACACCAACGTGTTCACCCCCGGGTATTTTAAATATGTTGACCCCGAATAGCCGTAACATCTGAACCGATACGACCGGGGTTTCTGAGCCCGACCCGATTCTTGGTTTCCAGTCAATGTACAGCTGCTTCTCCGTCCCTGATGATCTCTGGAAGCCCACAATGTCGCCGGCTTTGAGATTCTTCTCCTTAACGAAGCGGCTCCACCCTTTTGTTAAAACGTAACTCTTGCTGCTGTTCCAGTACGAATACCTGAACCTCCATACTTTGCCGGTCACGTCTTCGAAGTTCAAAAGCACTCCTCTGGAGGAAGCGGCGCCGCTTTGCAGCGGGAAGTATTTTTCTGCGTGCTGCTTAGGGATGACGAGGCGGTTCAACTTTCCCACATCGCTCGGGGTCACGGCTTTTTCGAAGAGCTGTTCACGCGCTTTGAGTTGGAACCTCGAGGAACCGGAGCCATCCTGTTTTTGTATACGCTTCCCGTTCCCGTCAAATCCGTAGCTTCTCCGATTCTGCTCGAGCTCATCGTTGTACGTGTGTTTACGCAGCATGTCCACGATTTCGGCTTTGGAATGCGAATTGAGGAAGGCGATTTGGATGTCGTCTTCCTCTGTTTCATGGAGGTGTTTGAAGTTGGTGACGGCGTCACGTCCCCTGAACCTCTGAGCCGCTATGTCATAAGCTTTAGCAGCCTCGTCTTCATCGTTGAAAGTTCCGAGCCAAACGCGCTGGTGTTTCTCGTATATCTGAGCACCCCATCGGCCGTTGGGTTGAGGAACCACGCCTTTGTATTTCGATGAAGGAAGCTTCCTCGATTCGGCTTCGACGCCGGACTCGGAATCCACTATCACGCTGGTTCCACTCCCGTGTCGGTACAGAGAGTCGGGGGATTTGGTCAGCTGAGGCAAAGGTGAAACATTCGACGGCGAAACCGATACGGAATCACTCGTTGTGCTCTCATCTATGGAGCTCCCATCCATTTTTTTTTACTCTAGAATTTTTACAAACAAAGAAGTTGGTGTAGTAGTAGTGGTAGAATAAGGTTTGTTAATTTGTTATTTTGACTGGGAAATCAGAAAAGGTACCAACTAAGAGAGATGGGAGTTGGTTTGAAGGTTTATGGTGTGATGATGTGTTGTGTATATATAGGGGATAGGTAAGTGTTGTAAATCAAAATTACTATTAAATTACTTGTATACGACTAATTTGATATTATTATTATTATCATTTTGGTTATTATGGTAAAAGAGTAATGAGATACGGAGATGTGGGGCTTGTATTGGGTCAACCCGAGGGGAAGGGGTATATGGTAAGTGGAACTAGGAAGATTCATTTCAGGGAGGGCGGCGACAGAAAGGGAAAAAATAGGTTTCTTTCAAGAAAGATAAATTGCATATTTAGTTATCCATCTATTCATATGATTCTATTTTGACCACTACATTATTTTTTCAAAATGATATATAACTTCATATTTTAATTTTATTTTATTGATATGCCATTAAAAAACAATATCATGCCGTCATTGAAAAGAATAAAAAGTATTACATCAACATATATGATTATTTTCTAATTATAAGTGACCAAAACATAAAACCAAAATATGATTTTTTTAGAAATTAATTAAATGATCAAAACAGAATTATAATAATAAATGAGTGACTACATTCGTGACTTACTCTAATAAAAATAGTTGTGAAAGAGTGAAGATAACAGTATGCGGATGTTGTGGGCTGTGTATGGTAAGGTGGGACCCCAAACTTAGCAAGTTGATGGGGTTCACATGACTGTGGACCGTGTATTTGTTTTAAGTTCATCCCCCCTGCCGCTGACCAGCTACCACCGGGATCAGCATGGCATTTTGCCATTTGGATCCTTCTTTTTCCTCCATCTGTACACCTATGTAAGGTCTAATTATTCTTTCAGTCCCTGGGATGGAATAAATTTGGGTAGTTTGAAGATTGGAGGGACTGAATAGAGAAGAAGACCTTGTTTTGTGTTGGATAATATTAGCTGATACTGCTGTGGTTTTCATAAAAATCCAATGGAGAAGAAGATAAACATCGAGTTTTCGAAGAGTTCCACTAGGATGGATGGGTAGTGGGGCACGGAAGGATAGACATTGAAGAAAAAGGCTCATCCAACAACAAAATTCCATCAAGCATATGGGTTTTTTGGACCAATGGTTTTGGTTTGTCTTTATTGGCTAGGCTCTTCACCTTGTACAATCTTTCCAAATAAGGCCCCCATCTCATCTCCTTCACTCCCCCAGCTCCCCATCATTATTATTATCGTCAAATCAACCCCCACCAACACCTCATTATTTCCGACCAATCACTTGTGGGTTTCCCCTTTCGTCGTCCATGCACTACAATAATGCAAAACCCAAAACAGCTCATTGATTTGATAATTTCCATTGTTATGATTTCTTTTATTAGTATAAGATAGTTATACGATAGTATCAGTTCAAAAAAAATTAATTATTTAATAATAAATGTTCAAATAATCTTACAATTCTCATGTTTGAATTTAAATTATCTTAGAATAATAATATTTTTTTCAATAAATATATGATTAATAAAAGGAGATGGGGTTTGTCTTTGTTTCTTATGGCATTAATGAAACTCGGATTATGTCGTAATTAGGGAAGATGACGTTGTTTTAGAGAAATGAAGGTGGTGGTACTTTGGAGTTGTACGGATCAGTCCTGGTCCTAAGAGAGGGAAAGAACTTACAACCACAAAAACACCAGCAGCAGTTGGAGACGGTGGATTTGGCTTTAGGGTTAAGATTATAGGGGACCTACTCTCAGATTTATGATTTCTTTTTCTACGGGTTGATTTAAATTAAATATTATGGAATTTTGTTATATAATGATCTTTCATTGATTAATTATTCTAAATTTTAGAGATTAAAGAAAATTATTATCACAATAAGAACAACATGTAGTTGGTGATTATTTTATAAATGATTATTATTTTTTTATGATTATTCTTATTCAGTTTATAATCAATTAATTCAGATAAATATTGTAGAAGCGAGAATAACCTTTTTAATTTAATTTAGTCTATTTGTAACTAGGCTGAAGCGTTACGGATTAACATGGAAATATAGTTCGTCTTTTACGTGAATTTATTGCATGGTTTGTAAGTTTCTTTTTATTTATAATTTGACTGAATTGCTAGGATAATGTGTCCCAGAGTTTTTTTATTCCTCAAATAATGTACCCGTTAAATTATTCTTCAGGATAGGCTATTTTCTATAATAGAGTGTGAAGACGCCATGTAATCCATGTATCTTATTGAGGACGCTAAGATTTCCATGTATCTTAAGTTTGATTCACTCCGCTAACATTTCTTTTTTTTCTCTACAAAATTGAAGACGCATGAAAAAAAATGAAAAAGTTTGAGGACACCAAGATTTTAGAAATTGAATAGTAATTTCTACTTCTTTTCCTTGAGACTATAAATAACACATTAATTTAAAAAATAATTTGATGATAACCCTATACGAGATTTTTTTTCCAAACGCCTTATATGGGCGAAGAAGCCATAATTTGTCTAATATTCGCTTAATGTGAAAAGGACAGATATGGAGATGGGAAAGGGATATTTTTCTGCAATAAAACAAAAACAATATTTGTACGGTATCCTTTGTATAATGATACGGAAAATTACAAGTAATAAATTGGAGAAACTAGGTTTAGGGTATGTTCTTTGCAAGATAAATTAAAGAGAAAATCGCCTCAGTGACCAAAAATACCTTATAATATACGATTTTAACCAATTTTTTTTGGATTTGCCAAAATGACCAATAAAATCGCAACGCGATTTAGAAAATCGCAACGTTAAAAAGAAAATCGCAACGGTCAAAAGAAAATCGCAACGCGAGCTTCCAAGTTCGCAACGCGATTTAGAAGAAAATCGCAATGCGATTGATAGAATCGCAATGCGATTTATAGAATCGCAATGCGATTTATAGAATCGCAATGCGATTGAGAGAGTCGCAACGCGATTTAGAAGAAAATCGCAATGTGACTGAGAGAATCGCAATGCGACTGAGAGAATCGCAATGCGATTTATAGAATCGCAATGCGATTGAGAGAATAGAATCGCAACGTTAAAAAGAAAATCGCAACGCAAAAAATAAAATCAAAAGAATAGTTAAAAAATTTTGTTTCTTAAGAATTTTCTCTAAAAAGATAGTATCCGCGCGGACGTGTCGAAGACACGTATTACCACGACCCGAGACGAGGCGGCGGCGGCGCGCGAGAGTCCCCCTTGTCCTCTTTCACTCAACAAGGAAGTGCAAAATACAAGCCTTAAATACCATTCCCAATAGTATTTCCAATACTATGTGGGATTGAGCATTACCAACACTTGTTCCAAATATCATTATTCTTCATAAGTTATCATCCATTACAATATGAATTAGTCGTGTTAATGAACCAATATACCTCATTAATATATGGTATTGTTGAACAAAAATGATGATGATGATTATTAAAGACCATCTAATACGAAAGAATCCAATGCATAACCGATACCTTATTGTGAAACTAATTCACATAGAGGTTGTACGTGAAAAAAAAATCTTTTACTTTTATAGTAAATATCTATCTCAATAATTTAATATAAAAAATATATTTTTATTTAATAATAGAATTATTTCATGTATTATCAAGTTATAATTTTAAATACTTATTAAAATGAATTAATTATTATCGATAATTCATATTGTAATGGATGATAACTTATGAAGAATAATGATATTGGGAACAAGTGTTGGTAATGCTCAATCCCACATAGTATTGGAAACACTATTGGGAATTATATTTAAGGCTTGTATTTTGCACTTCCTTGTTGAGTGAAAGAGGACAAGGGGGACTCTCGCGCGCCGCCGCCGCCGCCGTCTCGTCTCGTGGTCGTGGTCGTGGTCGTGGTCGTGGTCGTGGTCGTGGTCGTGGTCGTGGTCGTGGTCGTGGTAATACGTGTCTTCGACACGTCCGCGCGGATACTATCTTTTTAGAGAAAATTCTTAAGAAACAAATTTTTTTTAACTATTCTTTTGACCGTTGCGATTTTCAACGTTGCGATTCTATAAATCGTATTGCGATTCTCTCAGTCGCATTGCGATTCTCTCAGTCGCATTGCGATTTTCTTCTAAATCGCGTTGCGACTCTCTCAATCGCATTGCGATTATATAAATCGCATTGCGATTCTATAAATCGCATTGCGATTCTATCAATCGCATTGCGATTTTCTTCTAAATCGCGTTGCGAACTTGGAAGCTCGCGTTGCGATTTTCTTTTGACCGTTGCGATTTTCTTTTTAACGTTGCGATTTTCTAAATCGCGTTGCGATTTTGATATCGCGTTGCGATTTTATTGGTCATTTTGACAAATCCAAAAAAAGTTGGTTAAAATCGTATATTATAAGGTATTTTTGGTCACTGAGGCGATTTTCTCTAAATTAAAAGTCAATTTGTTTCCCTTAAAACTATAAAAGGTGGACCCCTTTTTGTATTCTCGGTGGTTATTTTTTCGAAGTCGATTTGAATGGTTATATTATAAGGCATGAAAAATTTTGTGATCATATCATAACATATTAATAAAGTGATGTATCAAATGTATTATAAGTTAAATTATTCTTATTAAGTAAATATTAAAAAGGATAAATTATCGTTTTTGTTTTTGAAAAAAATAAATTTTAGGTAACGAAATAAAAATGATAGTGTATGTATTAAACATATAAATTATTCTTTTAATATATACTTAATAAAGACAATTTAATTAGCAATTCATTTTAGTATGTCATTTTAATAATATGTTACGGTGTGCGACGTGCGCTGTAAACTCATCTTATAAGATACATTTACGTTATAAGGTATTATATGAAGTAATTAAAAAGTAAAATCCATATGTAAATTAATATTAATTCCATCAATTTCACGAGATGCGCATGAATTCAATTTATATAAAATAAGATAATTGTTGTTATTTATTATTTGATTAAATTTAGCATGGAGTGAAATTTTAAAACATAAAATATCTTTTTTAAAATAAAGTAAAAATCAATAAAT